CAAACGCAGAAACCTCTAAAAAAAAAAAAAAAAAAAAAAACCCTAGGGAACCCGACAGTGGTTCATGTTCATGGGTGAAGTGTAACACTCTGCAAGGTGGACTCACAGAGGAGGGTTGCTGGTTCACATCCCAGAGACCTCCCTGAGTGAGGCAGGCTTACATGTGCTCATGATCTAGGATGGCTGAGGCCAGGGGTGGATCGAGGCAGCTGGACCCTGTTGGGGTTCTCTCTCTCTCTCTCTCTCTCTTCCTCTCTCTCTCTCTCTCAGAATAGATGAAAAGAGAAAACAAAACTTTCCTGAGGTAGTTGTGTATATTAAATGGGATCATGTACAGCACCTTGTTAATTGCGTGTGAAGAATTTTTCTGTCACCCCCTGTGAGAGTTCCTTTTGGGAGACGTAAACAACTCCTGACCTCTCCTGGGGGTGGAGAGAGCTGGCTTCAGTTTCACGGTCATTTCAAACCTTTGCAATGGGCCCAAGAGCCAAGAAAATATCAGCACAGTGCGCCTGAAAAGGAAGCCTCTGAGACTAAAGAGAGCGTGCTGGGTAGTGTCAGGTGGCGCTGCAGGGGAAGGGGGCCAGTGCCGGGATGCTCTGGCTGCGGTGAAGTAGGGCTCTTTGAGGAGGTGGATTTCAGATGGACTTCAGACAGCTGAAGGTTTTTGAAGCCAGAGGATTAAAAAAATATATAGTCTCCAGCCTGAGAAAACCTGTCCAGAGTGAAGATTCAGAACAAGTCGTACATCTTTCACAGAATAAGCAGCTTCCACGGTCTCGGCCTTTGTCACCAGCCCCCTGACTGTGTGGGCAGCATTTCTGCTGAGTCTACAGGAGCCCCTTCCCTTTATCCCAGTGGAGCACAGGAGAGTCCTCTGGCTGAGGAGGGGGCCGACTGTCCCCAGGAAGATGCCAGCCCCCAGCAGGGGGAAGATGGAAAGCAGCAGTTCTCAGTGGGGTTCCAGAGCCAGCAGACTGAGCTGTCCTCTCACCCTGAGAGTGAAGAGGAACCGCGGTGTCAGGGGAGCTGAAAACTGGAGCTGATCTCGAGTCGGGACAGAAGAGATGGCAGTGACTCCTTGGCAAGGTGGACAAGTGCAGTTGCGAGGCTGGGAGTAGCTGGGAAGCCTGCTGAGCCGGTTTGAAGACAGACTGTAAGAAGCTTCGCTAATGTTCGGCGGTGGATGAAGACCCATACCTACAGAGATTTCACAAAGAAGAAAAACAGAACTGAAGAAACTAAAAGAAGTCATTACGGCCAGCTATGGTGGCCCAGAAGAGACACAACACTGATGCTGAGGCCATATGAGAAGGTCTTGGGTCAAGTCCCAGGGTCTCCCTACACACTCTGGGCACACACACATATATATGCCCATGATCCTGGCTCACTGAGGCAGGGGATGGCTTGTGGCACGAAGACCCTGTTAGAGATGCCATCCCCTTCTCTCCTCTCTCTGTCTTCCTCTCTCATAAGAAAATTAATTTTTTTAGAATTGTCATGACATACCAAAAAAATCTAGGCCCAGTGCTCTAGGGCAGGGGTTGGCAGACTCTTTCTGAAAAAGAAAGGCAGTAGGGAACTAGCAGTTAGCGTAATGGCTATGTCGTTGGACTCCCACGTAGTCGACTGCGGTTCCCGTCCCAGACCCGGTGGCTTAAAACTCACGCCGGGCTTGTGTGCGTGCGTGCCCAAGATCCCGAGAGGAGAATGGAGGAGAAGGGATTGCGGCGTGACCATCCCTCCTGGGGGGGGTGATTTCTCGCTTTCTGTCTCTGTCTCTCTCTGTCTGTCTGGCAAGCGCACGCGCCCTATAGCAAAAACCTCTCCCCCTCCCCCCCCCAAAAAAAGAAAGAAAGGCAGTAAATGGTTTAGGCTCTGCGGGCCATACGTCTTTGTCAGAACTGCAGCCTGGGCAAACAACCACAAAACTGCACAGCGGGCTTAAAACTGGATTCTGCTACATCCCAAAGGCCGAGAATTTTGAGAGGGTCACACCAGCCAACCTTGTCAGCCCGGCCACCCCTGGAGGGCTGTGGGGCACAGAAGTGTGTGGGATGTGAGGATTCCTCTCATTCTCAATTAGGGGTGGTTCTTAGTTGCTTCATAATAGAAATTCTTTCCCAAAAGCAGTGTTTGTCTTGCTGATTAAAATGGTGAAGTCAGTTTATAGCAGGAAAAAAAAAATAGAATATTTCCAAAAACCAAATGAAACATTTTAGTCTAATAAGAAAAAACACAGTGGAAAGCTGGCATATGTGTGCATGTTAAAAAGGGGGTTGTTCCCCCCCCATTGACCATTTTGAACAAGAGGCATGAATCAAGATAAAATCAACAGCTGTTCTTTTGCCACATTAAAAGACATGGGACTTTGCCAAGACAAGCGTGTGAGCTGGGGAGAGGGTGCCAGACACACACGGGAGCGGGGCCCAGGGACGCCTGTATACATTTCTGTCTCCACGTGGGAGTCTGTGAGCAGCTGCTGCTGCCAGGGGAAGTGTCCAGTGTCAAAATTTCCCTTCATGTTTACAACCCCTATTCAATAGGAAAATTAATTGTAAGTTGGATAAATGACAAAAAGTGTAAATCTTAAGTATTTTTTCTATTAAAATAATGATAAATAATTATATAATTAAAGGATATACATATGTGTGTGTGCGTATATATATATATGTGTGTGTATATGTATACATATACATATATATGTATATACTCTTCGGACATAACTAAAAGCTAAAAATCCTGGGTTTTTTCTTTTCCCTTTTTGGTTGCACATTTTAGGGAAACGTGGAGTCTGAACTACCTACTTACCTTTTCATTTATCTAACATTAGGTGACATGCTGGCGTGGATGGGAATTTATATTCCCTTTTTAACGATTTAAGCACATCTACTTCCGATGTGCAAGTATTATAGAAGGAAATGGGGCTAAAATAAGTACACTAGGAAATCAGGTGGTTCCTCTAATTCAGGGTGACCGGGAAGAGGACCTTTGTTTCTAGGACCCAGGTTCCTGTGGGGTGGAAGCTGGAAATGCTGGACGAACACGCTCCCGCACGTCCTCTGGCCCTTCCTGTCCAGGGCCTTGCACTTCGCCAGATTGAGCCGTCCTACCCCGCAGGCACCACGCATTCTCTGACATCTGATGGCAACATCGAAGTGGCATGCTGATGGAAAGAGGCCAAGTGTTACCGCTCAGCACAGCCAGTAGGGTGGGATGAGCCCAAATCAAGTCCCAGGCCCACAGGCTTAAAACTCAAGCCAGGCAGGAACCAGCAGTTGGCGTAATGGCTATGTCGCTGGACTTCCATGTAGTCAACCATGGTTCGAGTCCTGGACCTGGTGGCTTAAACTCACGCCAGGCGCATGTGTGTGCGTGCCCAAGATCCCAAGAGGAGAAAGGAGAAAAAGGGATCGCTGAATGGCCATCCCCCCTGGGGGTGATTTCTCACTTTCTGTCTCTCTGTCTCCCTCTGTCGTTCTGGTGAGCACATGTGCCCTATAGCAAAAACCTCTGCAAAAAAAGAAAACAAAACAAAACAAAACAAAAACTCAAGCCAGTCATATGTGCGTGCATGCCCAAAATTCCATGAGGAGACTGGAGAAGGGACTGCAACGTGGCCATCCCCCCCGGAGGGGTAGTTTCTCTCTATCTCTCTCTGTCTCTCTGGCAAGCACATGTGCCCTATAGCAAAAATCTCTCTTATAAAAAGAAGGGGGGAAAAAAAGGCATTCTTGTGTTTATCTTTTACCTTCTCTTTGATTCCTTCCAGGGGTTGTAAAGAAGTGTGTGAGCCCCACCCATGCACTGGTAGGCTTCAGGTATGGAGACACCAAGGTTGTGCCCCTCTCATTCATCACGCCTGTTGGGGGCGCCATGCCCTGCCCACTGCTCCAGGTACTGCCCCCACAATCTGTTCTGGGGTCCTTTTCACCTCCCATATAGTTTTGGTTACTAGGAGATGGCAAGGCCACTGTTTGGCCCTTTCTGAGCCCAGGCAAGTTCCTGCAGGGAGCCTGCGTTTGGCCAGGAGGAGCCACGGCCTGGATTCCTGGAACCTTTTCTTTGTTCATTCTCTGACTTGCTCACTCCGTGCTATGAGCTCACAGATGGCCAGACTGGCTTACATTACCTGGAAGCCATTGTCCTTTCACAAGAGGATGGATGGTTGGGGAAGGGCACCGATGGAGCTGCCAGCATTCTTGACACTTTAACTGCAGTAGATGGCATTATTTTATGCGTAATTACAAGGGCGGAATAGCGCTTTTCTTGCCATTGTAGTCAGTTGGTGTCAGACAGTGACGCCGTAATGCACAGTTACCCTCGACGTGCAGTGTGCAGATGAGTCGGACTAATGTGTTCTCATCTGCTCATAAATTCACAAAAGCTGTGCCGTGTCTGGCCCATCTCCTGCCACTATCCTCATTCCTTCACCCAAGCCAAGGAGGAGTGAGAAAGCCTTGCTAAGTGCCACTGCAGCTGTTTCTTGCGTAGTGTGAGCCAGGACGTGGAGTAGAGGAGGAATCAGAGGATGATTCCTGCTTGGGCGCCTGCTCCTGCCTCCCCAGACAGACCGTGGCTCTCCTCAAGTCACTTTCCTCGGACATGAGGGCCCCGCAGCCTGTCTGTCCCTTCACAAGATTCTCATTCTGCTGCATGTTTTCTCTTAGCAGCTTTCCCCCGTGGGTTCCAGATGTGGTGCTTTGGAGCAGCATTTAAGAAATCAGCTCCTTTCCTGTGTCTGGGGGACCTCCCTTGTAATATGCCAGGACACTGTTTGTCCCTTTTTATCTCTAAGACCCAAGTTTCCTGCAGCCAGTCTTCACAGGAGAGGGGTTCCAGAAGCTCTGCCACCTTGCTGGCTGTCCCTTGGACATTTGTCAGTTGTCAAAGGCTTCCTGAAGTGGGGCTGTCCCAAACTGATCACAAAATCCCAAGTATAGCCCAGTGAGCCCAGAGAATTTTGGCACTCTTAACTGAGAAAAATACGTATTTGAATTTTAGTAGCAGCACTTGTCAGTTGTCTTGAGGTGCTTTAAAACAAGCTTATGTTAACATTGTCTAGAAGATTTATAAACAAAATATTTGCTGTGAAATACTTCTCCTCTACAGGTTGGAGATTATGTGTTTGCCAAAATCGTGACACCCAAAGGATTTGACTTCTACGTTCCTGCCATTGTCATTGCACTTCCAAATCAGGATGTGGCTTCAGAAAAATTCTACACAGTTTTGAAATGTAACAACCGAAGAGTAAGTTGACTTTCCTTTAGAAGAGGACTTGGGGGCTGCATGGCGGCACAGGGGTAGAATGCAGCACTCTGGGAGGCCTACCTACTGGGGAAGGTTCCAGGATCACATCTAGAGACCTCCCCAAGTACATCAGGCACACACATGCTCACAACCCAGGGCCGCCTGAGGCTGGGGTGGACTGTGGCATCAAAACCGTCGGGCTCGCTCGCTCACTCACTCTTTCTCAGAATAAATAAACAAATAGAAGAAAAAGAGAGGAGGATTTTCTCATTAGTTAGAAAATGGCTTTCTCCTGGCAATGCTTATCTTTTTCCTGGCACTGCCAGATGTCTTGAAAGCAGAGTTTCCCCAGCTGTGCCCCTGCTCCTCCACGCCCTGTGGTTTGGACCTGCCCATGCTGCAGCGCAGACTCTGCCTTCAGTGGATGATCGGCCTCCTCACTCCCGTACTGAACTGTTCCTGGCTCTCGTTGCCAGGCTGTGCTTTCCATTTGACTGCTGGGCAGGCTTCTGCTGGGTTTTGCAGTCTCTCTTCCATCATCGTTCTTGGACGGCTCCTGCCTGTGGTCTTCTGTCAGCCCAGGAGGTGATGGGGGTGTCTCCCAGGCCTCTTCTAGCCCTCTGCCTCCTCACGGCCCGTCTCAGGGGTGAGCCTCCATCCTTGGACATCTGTTCCAGTGGCAGCTCCCTCTCCCACCTTAGCTCCTACCCTGCATTCCTAGCTGGATGTTCTGGAGAGCTCCCTCAGGCGAGCCAAAGGCTTCTCAAACTCAAGGTGTCAAATGATACCCCTTTCCTGCAGGAGCCCTCCTTCTGCACGCAACCAGCTGCTTCCCCACCTCACGCCTGCCTAGGAACCACCCCCAGAGTTAGCAGGAGTTGGAGGAGGTGAGGGGCCAGGCAGAGCCAAGTGGAAAAAACACAGGCCTTACCGTAAAAAGGACCTGCATTTGGCATCGCTGAACACTCGCTCTGCTCTTAGGGGTTGTCTGACCTGGGCAGGTTGCCTCACGTCTCTGAGCCTCCGTTTCATCACATATTAAATGGGTATTAAATGGGTATCCTCTCTCTCTCTGTCTCTCTCACTCTCATGTCTATCTATCTGTTATCTATCTGCCTAACTATCTGTCTAGCTTGCAGCACGATTGTGAGGTTTAAGGAAAATATATGAAAAGATCCGCGTGTCTGACACAGGTATTCGGTAATACTAATGATGGTGTAGCTGCAATAGTGCAGCATTACTCTAAAACCTTTCTCTTTATTTTAATCTCTTCAAGTTCATTTCTTTTTCTCCATGAATGAGAGAGAGGCAGAGAGGCAGAGAGACAGCACCCCCAAACAGGTTCCTGATGCTGCCATCCACCCCAGCTTCAGCCAGCCCCAGATCACGGGCACATGTGTGTCCAGAATGGTGTACCCCAGGAGGTCTCTGAACACAAACCTGGAGCCCTCCCACATGGGTCAGCCTTTCAGAGCACTGCATTTTGCCACCGCACCACTGTCCAATCCCCCTCGTTTTATTTTCGTTTTTCCATTCACGGTAGAATGTGTGCAGGCATATGTGGAAGTGAAGGAGAATGAGAGAAGAGCCCCGTCCACAGGGTCTAGTCGTTTCATGATGCCCTTCATCTAGTCCTCTAGCCTGTTGGATAGCAGGCACTCACACTCGTGCCCAGAATGCTCTTCTGGCCAGCCAGGCCGGGGATTTTACCTGTAATGCCACGTGGGGTCTGGCTTCACATGAGCGACACAGTACCACTGCCCACGGAGGTGGCCCGGCGCACTTGAATCCCCCCGCCCTCCCACACCACGAGTCAGAGTGCAGTCAGCTGTCACCTCTAGGTCGATTTGCTCAGTGTGCAGACGTTGGTTAAGTGCCCCTATTTTCTACTGCATCACTTGTTTTTTTTATTATTTGGGAAGGTTCTCTCTGTCTCCTGGAGAGTAATTCTTGGTAATATATATGGCTAATATTCTTTCCTCTGTCTGCTGCTTGTCTTTTAATTTTGGAATCCTTGTTGACAGAGAGCTTTTTTAAAAATTACTGTTTTTATTTGCCAGAGGGTACATGCACTTTCTGGAGAAAGAAAGAGGGAGAGAGAGAAAGTGAGAACGACCTCTCATGGGGGATGGTCACACCGCGATCCCTTCTCTCTTTATCCTTTTGGAATTTGGAGCATACTCACACACCGAGAGTGTCTTTCAAGTCTCCAGGTCTAGGACTCTAACCAAGCAGTTGGGCCATATGGGATCCAGCTGCCCTAACCACCACGCACTGGCAGGCCTGAGAAACTTTTACGTTTGCGTATGGTCATATTTATCCATCTTCTCCTTTGTAAACTGTCCTTTGTTTAATAAGTCCTTCCTTAATTATGTATTCCTTTTTTTTTTTCTTTCTAAAATTTACAGAAAAATCAGGTTAGAGATCTGATTATGTCATTTGGCCATTCAGTGTACACACACACACACACACACACACACACACTTCCTGGTTCACCCAAGGGCACGACTCAGTGTGGGCCCAGCTGCCCATGAGCGTAACTGTGAGTCACGTGGAAGGCACACCTGTTCCTGGACTGTCCTTCCATCTCCTCTCCATAGGAAACTCCTGTCGCCCTTATAACCCCACACAACTGTGACTTCCCCCTGGGCCCCTCCAGGCTCTCCTGTGCACAGCTCTGTCCCCCACCCACTGATCTCCCCACCTCCCAGCTTCAAAGGCAGGGACTGTGTCTTAGTCATCTTTGTGCCCAGCACAGTACCTGAGGAAGAGAAGATTCTCACAACTACTTGAATGGATGACATTTCTAATGGACAAATTACATTGCCTTGGTGGATTACTTGATATGCCCAAAAAATAGGATGGCAAGCAGAAAGCAAAACAACAGAGGTTAACTTTAGTAAGTCCTATATGGGCCACAGTACTAATACAAGAGCTTTATACGTAGTAAACAATTTAATCCTCAGAACACTGAAGTGGGAACTTTTATCCTCATTTTCAGATAAAGAAATTGAAGAGGGGTCATGGTGATTAAGGCACTAGACTCCCACATGGTTCACCATGGTTCAAGTCCCAGACCTGGTGACTTGAAACTTATGCCATGCGCATGTGCATGAGTGCCCAAAATCCCAAGAGGAGAATAGAAGAGAAGGGATTGCAGTATGGCAGTCCGCCCTGGGGGATGATTTCTCACTTTCTGTCTCTCTCTGTCTCTCCTGTGAGCTCACACACCCTATAGCAAAAATCTCTCAAAAAAAGAAAAAAATAAAGAAGCTGAGCAGGCATTTGAACCAGATGATCAACTCCTCAGCCTGCATTTAAACCACTGTGCCCAACTGCCACATATACAGAATTAAAATACCCGGTACGTTCCGGACTGTGGCATGAGGTGTTTCCAGCAGAAAGAGGGGTGCAATGTAGGAATTTTAGGGTTGAAGGCAAAGGGTGAAGCCCATCACAGACAGTGGTCACAGGATCGTAGCAGAACAGTGTGGGGGTGTCTTCTCATCAGCCCTTGAAAAATGTTTTAGAGAAAATGGGGCTTCCTAGAGCTGTCTGGCTGCCAGTAAAGAGCAGTGTGGATGGGCAGAGTGGGGAAGCACTTTGGGCATGTGGCACTGAGGGTAGCTGCTGTGCAAGGTGGAGTGTTAACAGATGTCCACAGGCATGCCCAGGGTGTGGAGAGAGATGAGGCTGTTGGCCTCGGCTCCCCAAGAAAAAGCCTCAGAGAGGGAATGACATTGGAATTCATCAGCAGGGCAGTGGGAGGGGGTTCTGCAGGCTACGGTGGCTTAGCTGGGGGAGGACAGTGGAGATAGTGCTGACACATTCTGGAAGACCTGATGAGGTGAAAGGTCACAGTTATGGCTGTCCAGGAAAGAGATGGCCAAGGATGGAATAGACAGAAAGGAAGGTGGTGAGAGCCAAGTGGCTGCCCTGCGGTAACACAGCTGGCTGGACCCACATGTGAGCTCCTGTGATCTGGACCGGCTGAGACTGGGAAGGGATCATGGTGCAAAGACCCTACTGAAGGTGCATGTCTCTCTCCTTCTCTCTTACGGGAAAAATAAATGAACCTTTAACAACAACAACAACAACAAAAGTAAGTGGATATGAAGGGGGATGTGCATGTGTGTGTGTACATGCACATCTTATATGGGTAGACTTGCCATGACCCAGGATATGGGGAAATGACAATGAGGACTCAGCGATGACTTTATTTCAACAAATAATTGTACGTGAGGCTCTGAATTTAAATTGCTCTCTTAAGTGTCACCCTGAATAGGATAATGACTCGTAGCTATTGTAACAGGCTGAGCTAGAATAAAATTATATCTGAATTGTGGACATTTCTGACTTAAATCGAGTGAACTCTTCTGGTTTTGTTACAGGAATTTTGCCCTCGGAGTGCACTTATTAAGATAAGCCAAAACAAGTATGCTCTCTCTTGCTCCCATATAAAGTCATCTGCAGTTCAGGAGGATCCAAAAGTGTAAGTGTACCCAACTGTTACTCCCTGAATATTAATTTATACTTTTGTACCTCTAATCTCTTTCTGAGTTGAGATCCATGACCTCCAAACACTAAGTGAGAAGAGGAGAGTGGAAGATTTCCTACTTGATATGTTCTGTGATTATTGTCCCTTCAGCCTCACATCTTTTATCTGCTGCTAATTCCTCCATCTGGTTCAAATCTCAGACTCAACATAATTTTACTAGCTGCTCAGAAAAGCACTGATTCCTCTCATGAATATAATGGAGTGTTCGCCTTTTATTTATAAGGATTCAAGGCCTTCTAATTGAGTGACTGAGTTACAGATGCGATCAGTCACTTCAGCTTCTTGCCTTATTGGGAGGTGGGAGTGAGGGGCTGGCCTTGGCTTTCCTGTGGCAGGTGAGTATGTGGTGGTGGTTGGTGGTTCCTAGGGACTTTAGTGGGTGAGCACATTTTCGTCTGAGGCAGTTGGATTTCCAAGAGTTATAAAGGAGGATTACAGCAATGTCAGTAGGGAAAAGTTGAGGCCTAGTGAGTAGGAAAAGTTCAAGACCGTGGGGCCAACAGGGGCCATCCAGGTGGGAATCATAACCCGTGACCCTGGAGTCAAGGGTCTACAACAACATTTTACTGGATTTCAGCAAGGGTTGGGGAAAGGGATCCAGGAAACATCTTACAATATTACCCAGAGTTTTAGGGCTGCCTTCGGATAGCAACCTTCAACACTTCTCCCCACACACATATCCCCACTACCCATCCCCCAACTCTCCATCCCCCACCAACCACCTTCCAGTGCCCCTGGCACATAAACCACTTGTTAACTAAACTTCTTGTAGTTTTCTTCACCTCATGCTTTCTCGGATCTTTGTGCTTTTGCACAGACTAAGTACCCCCTCCCTGGAATGCTTTTCCTTACCTTGGCCTCCTGGGAAACTCCAATGCTGAACTCAAGCTTCACTACCACAGTATAAATCCTGACAGAGCGGCCCTCCCACAAAACGAGGTAATCTCACTGTATTCTAGACAGGTTTTCATTATAAAAAAAAATTCCCTTATGCTAGGCCATGTAGATGCAAGTCCTTGAAGGTAAAGATCAGGTTCTAACCACCTCTGAAACCCTGTTGCCAGGGTCTAGCTCACAAAATGTGCCCACTGACCATTTGAAAAATGAACCAATGAACAAATGCTAATGGATGTCCAGTGATGCTCTTTGAGAGGTACCCCATTCCATAGAGTATCTTTCTTTGGGTAATGATTATTGAAAATATTTGCTGTGATCATTCTTTGTTTGGATGAGTCTGATATTTCATAAACTAATTGCACATTGTTCATAATCACAAAATTCTGCTCAAATAATATGAGGGCAGGCAGCAGTGCTGCAGTGGTAGGTAGCACAGTGCTTCACAATGCTGGACCCTATGGGGAGGTCCTAGGTTTGCACTCAGAAGTCTCTCTGTACCCACTAAAAGTGTGTACACACACCTGCAGTCTAGGTTGACTGAGATTGGGGCTGGATAGCAGCATGAAGACTCCGATGGAAGTGCCTATTTCTTCCCTTCTCTCTCAAGAAATAAATAATGTTTAAATATACATGAGATCAAATTATAATACATTATAAAGTCATTTGAATAGGGACCAGCAGGTGGCATGGTTGTTAAGACACTGGACATTCCCACATGGTTGATCACAGTTTGCGTCCCAGTCCTGGTGGCTGCTTTCTCACTTTCTCTCTCTCTCTCTCTCTCGTCAAATTAAAATAAATGAATGAATAAATAAAATTCAATAAAATAATTCTTTAAAAAAAAGGTCATATGAATCAATATGCCTAGGTACTGGCCGTCTTAACTCAACATTATCAAACACTATTCTAGAATTAAAATTCAGTTCTGTGCTGAGAAAAACCTTTAATTATTTCCTGTCATCCCAAACCTTATTTAAAGCTCTTAGCTGCCAATTATCTACTCTCACATCGAGAACTCTACACAGAGGGAGTATTCATGGACTCCTGGTCTCCTGTCGCCATTTGTACTGTGCTTTCCTCTAGATGCCTCTCTGGAAGCAAGAGCCTGAGATTAATTCTCCCAAATAGAGGTCATGTTCAACCTGCTAAGTTCAGAGCTCAGTCTGTCTCTGCTTCTATAATCAGGGCTAGCAGCACTGAGCACAAAAATGAAGGTGTAGGTCTTATTCTTTATCTGCACTGGGATTACCTTCTGATAGGTCCTTTCATCAGGAGCATATTCTCACTTACTTTAAAAATCTACCATTCGGGAACCAGCAGTTAGCGTAATGGCTATATCGTTGGACTCCCACGTAGTCAACCGCGGTTCGAGTCCCGGACCCGGTGGCTTAAAACTCACGCTGGGCGCATGTGCGTGCGTGCCAAGATCCTGAGAGGAGAATGGAGGAGAAGGGATTGCGGAGTGGCCATCCCCCCTGGGGGGTGATTTCTTGCTTTCTGTCTCTATGTCTCTCTCTGTCTAGCGAGTGCACGCGCCCTACAGTGAAAACCTCTCAAAATAAAAAAAATCTGCTCTTCAACCTTCAGTCATTCTTCAGGAAGTCTTCATGCCATTATACCAAATAAGACTATTACAAAAAAATCCTGGCGCTTTCTTCATAGGCTACTAAAGAAATGTATTGTAGGTTACATCTCCAACAGGGTATCATTTGACTAAATCTAATTTTTATTTTTATTTTTTGGAGAGATTTTCACTGTAGGGCACGTGCGCTCGCCAGACAGACAGAGAGAGACATAGAGACAGAAAGCGAGAAATCACCCCCCAGGGGGGATGGTCACGCCGCAATCCCTTCTCCTCCATTCTCCTCTCGGGATCTTGGGCACGCACGCACACGCGCCTGGCGTGAGTTTTAAGCCACCGGGTCCGGGACGTGAACCACGGTTGACTACATGGGAGTCCAGCGACATAGCCATTACGCTAACTGCTGGTTCCCTAAATCTAATTTTTAAATACTGAATCCACTAAAATCATTTAATTAGGGGTGGTAAAACAAGGGATTCCCGTCCCAAACAGGTGGGAGGACCAGGAAGGCAGACATCCGGCTCTCCATCCTCCCCCTCTGCTATCCTCCTACTGGGACCTCGGTTGTGACTGAAAGCATTTCCTGCCAGTCTCTCTGCTGGCTCCTGAGGGAGGTATACAGCAGAGATAAGGAAAGCATGTGGAGGGTTCAAAATTGAGTATAGCCAAACGTGATGCACATTTTCCTTTTCAACTCAAAACTTGATACCAAAAAGATTATTAAAGACTTACAAAAACAGGATTGACTTGCAAAAATTTGTTGTTCGTATCACTAAATTCCACGTGACTAGTTCTTAAAGAAAATTTTGGTCCCACAATAGTTGCAGTGCAAAGCAAATGAAGCTGGTGCCCTTTTCTCTCTCCTTCGCAACCTGATAATTGCATTTTCTGACACCACAGCTGAGAGGTGTGTCTCAATGGGAGGAAATGATTGCCCTGCCCTGCCCTTCCATCCCTTCGCTTCAGTAATGTCCCTGAGCTTCCCACATTCCACAGCATCAAAGATATCTTTTCTGAGTGAAAATATCCCCTCATTTGCTTATAATTTTCTTCATTCAGTGAACACACATGTAATTCTCCTATTTCTCAATACCTCAGAAAAGCAAGTGGAGCAGGAGGAATGTCCCCCATTTGGCAACTCTGCTCCTCACCACGGTAGAGGGCTGACAGACCCTGTTCTCTGCTGCCTTCTCTGCGGTGCTGTTCACATCAGAGGGCTGTGACCTTGGCTACTGCAGGAAGTCGCCTGGTGGATTTCACTCTCTGGCTTCTGTTTTTCTCCAGTGAAGGGAAGTGGCTCAGGCATTGCTCGGCCATCCCTAGGCAGGGACTTCTGACATGCCTGCACTGAGTCCACATGACTAGCGCTAGCAAGCTGGAAGTTCCCTTCCTCCATTTAGGCTAGGACAGAATACCTCCAGTCTCTTCTTTGAGAAGACTCTCTTTAGAGGGAGTATGATTTGTTGGGAAAAAAGAAAAATAGTAACAGTCCATATATGATCTCAGGAGAACCAAAATTTTCTGTGCTCCAGAAAAGTCATCCAACCTCTGAAAGAAGTTGTGTTCTGAATTCCTGATGGCAAGGAATATTCTTCCTTTGCTGCTTGGTTGTCACTGTGTGGTCTTCGGGATGTGGCCATATATGACTCTGCAGGAGGGGATACCCTCTCACAGCTCAGGTTTGTCTGGGTCTGTGGTCAGCTCCCCAGTTGCTGTTCCATGTCTGTTTTACTAGCTTGCCATGAAGCCATTGGCATTTAGGAGTGAGTCACAAGGGAAATGATAATTCCCATATTGTTGGGCGCTCCTCCCTTCACTCACTTCCCTTCCTGACTGAAGTGAAATTAAGCCATTGACTGAAACTTGAAGCTTCAGCACTGCCTCTGACATCGCATCAGATGAATCACTTTCCTTAATCTTGCCTGGTCGCTCCTGACAATCTTCCCTTAGAGGGAGCTGTGCATTGGAAATCATTAAGCCTCTATGTGTCACTAACTCCCTTCATCCTTCTGATCAGATTAAGAGCCCCATTTCCTATGCTGGAACAAAGCCCCGAAAAAAGAGACATTTCAGCAATAAACCCTGAGTGTCCTGTATTGTCCAGAGGACAAATGCCTACTTTCAGAAAGTGTGCTTTGGTGCCCTAGAACTTGGAACAAGAGAACAGAGGAGTCTGAGACTCACTAACCCTCAGGGCATGCTATAGAAACTCAGACAGCAACAGCATCTTCGTTTTCTCCATTTTCTGCCCCTTTAAGTATAAAGACTCAGGGGAGCCCCCAGGCGGTGTGGTGGTTAAGGCACTAGATCCCACATGGCTGGCTATGTGGCTTGAAAAACACACAGCACGTGCATGTGTGCCCAAAATCCCGACGGGAATGGAGGAGAAGGGATTGGGCATGGCCATTCTCCCTGAGGATTGGTTTCTCACTTTCCCCATCTCCCTGTCTGCCTGTGTCTCTCTCCGGTGAGCATATATGCCATATGGTAAAAATCTTTAAAAAGAAAAAATTGAGTATTAACACTCAGAGGCTCCTAGTCCTCTTCAAATGTGTATTCGGCGCCTGCCCCGCAGGGCCCCCTGTGCGTTATGTTCTGAGGCAGCCCTCTGACAGAGACATACTTAGGACAGAATAGAATGAGGCTTCAGAGAACCAGCAATTACTGGCATTGGCCATGCTTGACCATACTAATGAGGTGGATTTTGACCTCAGGAGAGCAGGGAGTGAGTGCTCAATGCTTTCTTCCCTGAACTGGAACCAAAAGTAGAGAGGTACCTCGCTCCCCCTCACCCTAAACGTGCACAAATTTTTGGCTTGCTTATCATATTATTTAACCAAATCTGTAGCCCAAAATAATTAATAGGGCAACTAATTAAACAGTGTTTTGGTATGAGATTATGCAAAAGAAAGCCATTTAGTGGGCCCTAACTTTTCAGGAGGACCAATGGATGTCTGCCGACTGGAAATCAGGATCATGGTGGCCCTGCTCCTTTCCATGAAGTGGGCTTGGGCCAAGCAGCAGAATGAGGTGCAAGAGGAGGGAATGAAGAAGAGCTTTCATATTAGATTCACACCCCGCCCTCAGCCCATAGGGGATGTTTTCCTGTGAAATGTCTTGATCAGCAGCAGTTATTTTGCAAGGTGAAATATGGTGACCAAGCAGTATCACTCGACTCATGTAAAGGCTGTTTTTGATCAAAATTGCTTGCCGTCTGTTCTAATCATGACAACTTATATTGTCTTATTATAAAAGTAATGCACAGTTAACATAATTTGCAAATTAAAAGTAAACAAAAAATAATACAAAAAAAGTTGTTTATAGTCCCACTGTTCAAAGTATTTTGATATACATTCCTTCCGGAGTGTTCTCTCTGCTGTGATGATTTTTATTTTTTCTCAAAATAAGAGTTTATTTCTCCTTACTATGTATGACAGTGGCAAAAAATGTGGAGAAAGTGACAGTTCTACCAGAATCCTTTTCCCAGAGGTGAAGGTTAATAGTTTGATGCAAAATTTTCCAGTCATCCATATGCATTCCCAACCTTAATACAAAAATGAAAATATAATATACATTCTGTTTTGTAACTTTTTTCCACCTAATGGTATGGTATATTGCTTATATTTCCATGACAGTGACACCCCTTTTTTGTTATTGCCCACCTAGAATTTCATTATTCAGGTAGTCCATAACTCATATGACCAAGGTACATTGTTGCCTACTGAGGGATATACACATGTTGCTTCTTGATCCCTCTTACTATTCTTCCTGGGCTCCTTGATGTGGGTAGATACACACCTCCACTGTCTTACTCTTTTAGTGCTTTTGGTACAGTGGTCTCCCCTTGTCTATGGAGGATACATTCCAAGACCCCCAGTAGATCCTTAGAACCATGGATAGTACAAGAACTTATAAACATGACTTTTACTACATAGACATATCTGATAAAGTTTATGAATTAGGCACAGTAAGAGATTAGCAGTAATAATGAATAATGAAATAGAACAACTATAACACAATAGGAGGTTGTCATGAAAGTCATGATGTATTTTTCTGTGCAAAAATGAGTCATGACTTTCCCAACAACCCAATATCTTACTGTACTGTACTCACCTATTTTCAGAACAGGGATAACCGAAACCATGGGAAGTAAAATCATAGATAAGGTGGTGATGGGGGGTACTGTTTTACCCCTGAAAAATTCTACTTACCATTCACCCTTCCTTGTCGCTCTTTTTACTGAGAGATGAGAGACTGTCTGCAATCAATGCTAATATATGGGAAATAGAGAAACCCTGTGAAAATGAAATAGAATATCAACTTAACCTGCTCTGGAAAGAGATAGCAATTTGAGGTAGATAGTTGATAGTTACGTGGTTGGATAAGGTTTTGGATTTCATAAACAGGGGTGGTGAATATAACCTTGAAGTAGGAAAATTTTATCTGTGACATCCTAGAAAACCTTTATCAAATGTTATTGCTATTGCTCAAATCATTTTCTTAATCTATCTCAGGAATTCTGCTGAGTCTTTGAGTAAATCTTTCAAAATGATCATGTATGGCAAATCTTGATCCTTTGAAGAAGGATTTTAACTATAGAATTTGCTATTTGGAAAATACTAAAAACTTACTCTAGTTGCCCCTGCCCCCAAAACTTTTACAAAGATGTGAAACAACAATGGTCAAAAGTTATTCCTAGCAGAAACAAAAAATTATTTACCATGTTGGCAGGGTGATAAAGATGGCTAATAATGATCATGGAAACAAAATAAGTTTTAATGCTAGGCAGCTGGTGTTTTTTATTTTGCTTTTTGGTTTTTGTTTTTTGGGGGGGTTTTTTGGAGAGTTTTTTGCTATAGGGCACACGCACTCGCCAGAAAGACAGAGACAGAGAGACAGAAAGTGAGAAATCACCCCCCGGGAGGATGGCCACACTGCAATCCCTTCTCCTCCATTCTCCTCTGGGGATCTTGAGCGCACATGCACATGCGCCAGGCATGAGTTTAATGCCACTGGGTCTGGGATTCGAACCACGGTCGACTACATGGGAGTCCAATGACATAGCCATTACGCCAACTGCTGGTTCTGACAGCTGGTGTTCTTAATGTACTCTGAGGACCCCCAAAAATGTAAGTACCCAAAACAGTGAGCCATGGTGGCATGGCTGGAATGAGGTCATGATGTTTCCAAAAGAAATGACAATACTTCTGGATAAACAAGCTTTGTCTAGTACCAAATAGGAAGCCCTGATTTGTGACTTCATAGTCATGCCCAAGTTCTCTTTGATTAAATGCAATAACAGATCTTAATTGTTTTTGTGTTTGGGGAAATGTTTTAGATGACACACCTTGACATCGTTAGAGAAACCCAGGAGTGTGGAAGAATGTCTATATTGTACAAGCTTCTGTTCAGGGATGAACTGGGCTTTGATGGGGCCAAGCTGTCCCACTAGGAGTGGGAGACAAAAGTCCGTGTCAAAGCATGCCCAGCTGCTTCTTGACTAGGAATTGTTATTTTGCTGACTTGTCAGGACAGGGTCCAAATGGTTACATTCTCCATGTCACGTGAGGCTCCCAGGCACCAAAGGCCTATGAAATTAAGCCCAGCTTTAAGTATCTGTCCCACAGGACACCTGAGAATCCTTTCCACGGGAAGGACAATGAACAAAGAGTTGAGAAATGCCCTTGGGCTGGCTTGGACATCTCTGCAGGCACAGCAGGCTTCAAGCAAGAACAGGGTAACCCTGATCTTTCTCTCTAGGGAGGACATGGAGACAAACAACTCTACTTTCCTTCTCTGGCCACTGAAAGAAGTTGACACTGGGGATTTAAAAGATCCAAAACAGGAGACCCTCCGAAAGAAGAAAAAGAAACCTACCAAGAGGCCACCTCTCCAGGAGATGGTGTCCTTGGATTTGGACGGCTCTTCCCATGGCAGCAGGTCACCAGGGTTCTACCGCGAGATACGCCCCAAACCCAAGGTAGTGGGAGGGATGACCTCATTTATCTCTGGAACACCTTGGAATCTCTTTCACGAATAGTGCATATGAGATTATTCCTCAGTTTCTGGGCCAGGGTAGGTCTCAGTATAGCAAAAACACTAACAGCCTTAAACAATGTTAATATCCACCTCTCCAGACAAGGCCCTCAGCCCGGGGTATAGAGTCAGCTAGCTACACCATCACTGCAGCACCTGTACCTCAAGCAGCCCTATCCTATCCTCATCAAGCCACCCACAGCAACAAAGCATTGAGGACCATCACTGAGAAACTTTAAAGCAGTCTAGTGGCAACTATGGTTAAGAGAGCCAGCATGCCTCCTGGGCTGTCAGACCTCAATCACTTGATACAGTGAAGCTAGCCCCTCTGCTAAGGTAAGGCTGCCCTTTATTCTAACTGGGCCTTCCCCATTTGTACCAAAGGTAGATTTCCTGTTTTTCCCCACTTGGATCTCTTACCTGCCTAAGCTTATTAGTTCTGGATTTTCCATGGTACCCTTTGTCCTATTTTTTCTCCTGGAAAAACTGTACTCAATCTTCTTTTAGACAATCTTCTTCTGACTTCACAGTCAGAAATTTTACTTTTTTTTTTAGAGAGGTTTTTGTTGTAGGGCGCATGCGCTCTCCAGAAAGAGAGAAAAAGAGAGACAGAAAGATGGCCATGCCACAATCCCTTTTTCCTCCATTCTCCTCTCGGGATCTTGGGCATGCACACACACGCACTTGGTGTGAGGTTAAGCTACCAGGTCCAGCACTCAAACCACAGTCAACTACATGGGAATCCAGCAACATAGCCACTACGCCAACTGCTGGTCCCCAGAAGTTTTACTTTAATAGATTACTCACTAAGGATTTCCAAATTTTTTAGAAGTTAGTATAGTTAGGATAGAAGCATGCAGTGTTGTTTTACATTGATATCTCAAAACTCCTGCATTAAGATCTTATGACTTAATGTTAGGACTGAAATTAATACCTGATAACTTGCCTAGACACATAAGATGGAACATTCCCTATTTTATTGTTTTCTGATACTGTTATTGAGCCTTATCTAATTAATTTTGTCTGCAGTCTGTTGTAGGTACTTATAATTGAGCCTGGAACCAGAATAAAAGCTCTTACATTGAAAACATTGCAAGACTGCCGAGTTGTTTATTTGTCACTGTTTTCTTTGAATCCTTTTTAGCAGTGAAATATGAACGGAGTCAGTTCTGTTCACTAATTTCAAAATGAAACAGCTCTCTCAAATTCCCATTTTCCAGTCAGCAATAGCTTGAAGTAGGTATAACCTTATTAATAAAGTGCAGGTTATTAATACGAAAAATATAGGACAGTTTTGGAAAGTAGAAAAACTAGGGCACCCCACTGCTCTAGTTGACCTCCCCATCTCCACTGCCAGAACCTATATGCCTTTCTGGTATTTTGAGACTTTTTGTTGCTGTTGTTTTCCCAGTTCACTGAGATGTGTCATCAAATTAGTTATTTGCTACCTTTCTATTTTTTTTCATGTGTACACTCATTGCTATAAACTTCCCTCTTAATGACTGCTTTGCTGTGTCCCAAAGATTATGGAGAGATGTGTGCTTATTATCATTGGTTTCAATAAATCTTTTCATTTCACTCTATATTGTTTTAGTACTTTTGAAGTTGTTCAGGTTTAGTTTCCATGTTTTGGTATATTTTTGAAGGCTCTTTCTGTAGGTGACTTCAAATTTAATTCCACTGTGGTTGAAAAAGATGCCCAATATAGTTTAGATACTTATAATTTTGTGAAGGCTTGTTTTGTGCCCTATTATGTGGTCAGCCTTCAAAAATATTTTATATGAGGATGAGAAAAATATGTATTTTTTGGTTGTTGGGTGAAATGTTCTATAAAGGTCTGTCAGATCCATCTGGTTTATGGTATCATTAGTTCCTGTGTCTCTTTATTTTTGGTCTTGAGGATCTGTCCAGCAATGTCAGTGGTGATTGAAATCAGCAACATTTTGTGTGTTGCAATCTCTCTCTTTAGATCTAGCAGTCTTTTTCCCATATATATTAGGGTGCTTCAGTGTTGGTTGCATTAATATTGTTATATTTTCTTGGTGAATTAATCATTTTAGAACTGTAAAGTGTCATTTTGATTTCTCTTCATAGTTTTTGTCTTGAAGTCTGTTTTGTCACATCAGTATCATGACTTCAGCCTTTTTTTTGGGGGGGGGAAGAGGGGCTTCTGTTTGCATAAAATGACTTTTTCCAGCCTTTAATTTTATTTTATTCTCTCTCTCTTTCTATATGTGTGTGTGTGTGTGTGTGTATACACATATACATAAATATGTATGTATTATTTAATTATATACATAAGAATGTATGATTATTTCATTATATGTGTGTGTGTGCATGTGTATTATTTAATTAGGTTCTTGGCAAGACATTTAGAATACCAATTTGTGAGGGTAAACTCCATTTGTAAGGGTAATCACAGATCGCAGGTAGCCTTGAACCTGAGGAACAGCTTTGATTTGGGGGAAAATTTACAAGTCCACAGCTTTCTGATTAACCTGTTTTGCTCTGTAATCTCAAATTTCTCCTTCTCTGTGTGGAAGATCTTACCTTCCTGGTGTCTGGGCTTCCACAGCTTCTTTTTCTTGATTGAATTTGATTGAGGACCAGAGATCCAGTCACAGGTAGCAAACCACTGCTCACTTGCTTCAGAAAAACCACTATCTTGCCCCTGTAGCATCCAGTAAGAATGGTTAGAAGGGTCCCAGGAGTGATGGTAGCTCATAGCTTTCTCAAATGCTGGCTGGCTCAACAGTTTTCCAGGCACATCTTCAGTAGGATAATACCTAGGCATTTTGCGCAGTTTAGCCACCCGGATACCACCATTTTTGTCACCACCAGTTGGCTTTGTAACAGTGATGATAACATTTTCCTTTTTCTTTTTAATCCTGGATTTAGTGGCTAAGTATTTCCTCTTATACATGGCCTTCCTGGATTACATAGCAGATCAGGAGTGTCTGCCAATTCCTTGAACTAGGACCAGGTTTCAGCTACAATGGATCTTCACTTTCTTGTGCTTTTTAGCCTTGGGAGTCACCCTTTTTCTCCTTGCCACTGGCATCAACCTTCCTTGGCTTCAGGTTTCTTCTCTTTAGTATCCAGCTTCTTGGGGATTTTGTTGTTGTTGTTTTTAGAGAATCTTTTTTTTTTTTTTTGGAGAAGTTTTTGTTATAGGGCATGTGAGCTCACCAGAAAGACAGAGACAGAAAGACAAAGCAAGAAATCACCCCTTGGAGGGATGGCCACCTCACAGTCCCTTCTCCTCCATTCTCCTCTCGGAATCTTGGGCATGCATGCACATGCACTCGGCCTGAGGTTAAGCCACTGGATTCAGGACTCAAACCGCGGTCCACTACATGGCAGTCCAGCGACACAGCCATTATGCTAACTGCTGGTCCCCAGCTTCTTGTTTTTTATTTGTCATCTTGTAAATTGAGGAAGAGCCCAGCCTTTCACTTTCAATTTATGTAAGTCTTTATCAGTGAAGTGTGTTCCTTGTAAGCAGCATATACTGGGTTGTCAGAAAAGTCATGGCACATTTTTGCATAGAAAAATCAAGACTTTTCCAATGACCCAATAGGAGGTTCGTGTTTTTTAATCCATTCAGCATACCTGTTTTTAATTGGAGAATTTAATCCGTTAACATTTAATGTTGTTATCAATAGGTCTAGACTGTCCCTGTTATTATTTGTTTTGTATTCTTATTCTGTTTTTCTTCCTTTTATTTTCCAAAAGTAATATTCCCTTAAGTTCTTCCTAAAGAGTTCATCTAACATTGGTAGATTCTTTCAGATTTTGTTTATCTGAAAAGGATTTTATTTTTCCTTCCCATTTGAAGGATAATCTTGGTAGGTATAGTAGTATTGGCTAAAATTTTTTCTTTCAGAGTTTTAAATATGTTTTCCCATTTTTCCCTTACCTCCTTTGTTTCAGGTGAGAAGTCTGAGGTTAGTCTGATGAAGTAGCCTTTGTAAGTAACTTGACCTTTCTATCTTGCCACTTTTAGACTATTTTCTTTGTCTTCGATTTTTTTCAATTTGGCAATGCTATGACTTACATTGGTTCTATTAGGCATTCTTTGCATTTCCTAAATCTCGATGTCAGTATGTTTCTCTAGATTTGGAAATTTTTCAGATATTTTTCCAGAGATATTTCTGTGCCTTTACCCATCTCTGCTTTCTGGAATACTTTCATAATGCAGATATTCAACCATGTAATAATGTCTAGAATTTCCCATATGTTATCCTCAATTTTTTTGGTTTTCTTTCTTTCTTTCTGGTTTGGCTTAGGTCAGAGGTTTTGTCTTTTGAAGTCAGAGATACTTTATTCTACATGGTCTAATCTGCTGTTAATACTTTCAAGGGAGATTTTGTATTCTTCATCTCCAGAAGTTTGGTTTGATTCTTTAATACGATGTCTATCTCTTTTTGGAATTCCTCCTTTATGTCATGGAATGATTTTCCCAACACCTAGAATTAGTTGTCTGTTTTCTCTTGGATTGCATTGAGTTTTATTATGATTAGTATTCTGAGTTCTTTTTCTAACATTTCTGTGATTTCTTGTGTTACCCATTGTTGGTGAGGAGTTATGGTGTTCTTTTGGGGGAGAGCTATTTCTTTGTTTTCTAATATTTCTTGTATCCTTGTGTTGATTTTTAGGCATCTAATTTTTAGGCATTTTTAGACATCTGGTAAGGTACTCACTTCTTTCTCATTTTTAGAGTAGGTTCTGTGGTGCTGGGAGAAAGAACAGTTCTAGGTCCCAGGTGTATCCCTGGCAAAGGAGATCAGGAGGGGCCAGTGACCCACTGCATCTTCCTGATCTGAACGTGGCTTGTGTAGTCTGTACATGATGCAGTTCAAGGAGGTCTAGAAAAGCTACATCTATTGGAGCAGGTAGCTCTTCCCATGGGCTTGAGACTAATAGGAGGAAGAATGTACCCCTACCCTTCTTGCCAGACAGAGGTTAGTGTCCAAGTTCCTCAGTCTCTGTTGAGGGTAAGGTGCTCTCTTTTGAGTCCTCTGTCCCCTCCAAGTTGTCAAGACTTGATATAGTCAGAGTTACATCTGCTTAGGGCTTGCAGGTTGATGTAGCTCTCTTGCCAGTTTGGGATAGGGGATTCAAGTGTGTGTGTGTGTGTGTGTGTGTGTGTGTGTGTGTGTGTGTGTGTATCTTTCCCCCTAAAACTATTTGCTTTTGTGCTTCCCCATGATGTGTGTTAGCTCCATGCCTGTTTTCTTATTCTTATGTAGGTGTGATATCTGCAATCCATGATAATATTCAGGAGTTTAGAGGAGAGTTTATCTCATTTCTGTCCTCTGGAGGGGATATTGGGAGGGGAGAGTTGTCCAGAGCATCACTGACTTCAGGTAGTTGATTCCTCTCTACTTTTGCAAGTAGAAACCATGTAAATTAGAAGTTCTTGCCCACTCCCTCCTGACCCCCAAAGGTTCTGCCTGATTCCTCTTTCTGCAGAGACTGCTCACAGGCAGTGGCTTTGCCAGATGCCTCTGGGCTCCAGAGGTGGTGCCACTTTTTGTAAGCACCCATGTTTCCCTGACTTACTCCAGCCTCTCAGGCCCAATGCAGCTGACACAATTTTCAGGCCCTAGGTCCAGAACTCAAACCACACAGTTGACCATGTGGGATCCAGCCTCTTTAACCCCAGTGCCACCTGCTGACCCCTATGTTTTTATCTTGAAGTCTATTTTGGCTGCTATCAGTACACGGCTCTGGCCTTTTGTGATTCAGGCTTGATATGATGTGTGTGTGTGTGTAATATATATATATATTACACACACACACACATATCTATACTTCTGTATCTATCTAGCTATAGATAGATAGGTAAATATATCTCACATTTCACCCAGTAACTATAAAATACACCTTTTTATCATCCCCACTTAGAACACTTTTTAAGATTAGCCACACAACTTTAAAAAGTAAAAAAATTAAAAGTATAGAAACTATATCCAGCAAAGTGACTGGATATAGTTTATTCTGAGCAAAGTGATATTAAATTTGAAATCGACAACAGAGAGAGCCATCAAAAAAAAAAAAAAAAAATGATATTAAATTTGAAATCAAC